TGTAGAAATCACAACGATTTAAAGTACATGTATCAGAAAATGTCTCGCCTTATTTGTCCGGATCATACTGCGCGGTCTAATTTTCTTTAATTTGCTTAAAATAATTTAATTGTTGTAAAACGGATGAAAATAGAGTAATTTTGTCTAATCATAAATCTGCTTATAAATCTGTTATTACAAAGAAGAAAAATATGTTCTATAGAAAGAAAATGCAAGAAATAGAAAATTTGAAAAAGAGTAAGCCGAAAGATTTTTGGATTTTTTTTAAAAAAACAAACAGGAAAGGTTGATAATAAAATAACTTCAGAACAATTTAGAGAATATAAGTAATGATTTTTTTAGTGTTACAATGCTGAAGCTGAGGAGTTTTGAGAAAATAATGATTTTACAATTACTAATGAAATTTTTCCTGAATTAGACGAGCCTATTACTTGTTCTGAAATTTGATCGGCTGTTAAATCACTGAAGCGTAATAAAGCCTATGGTAATGATTGTTTATTGAACGAATATTTTATAGAAAGTATTGATATTTTATAGTCTCATATTTGTGACTTAATTGTATTTTAAACTCAGGCTGTTTTCCTAATAAATGGACCGAAGGTATAATTATCCTTCTGCATAAAAAAGGGAATCAAAATGACGTTAATTACTTGTAAGTTGCTTGTCAAATTATTTACTACAGTTATAAATAGACGAATCGAAATATTTTGTAATGAACACAACACTATTTCGGATGCACAGTTCGGATTTCGTAAGGGAAGATCCACTGTAGACGCTATTTTTATTCTTAATTCATTGGTTTAGAAATATTTAAATGATAATAAAAGATTTTATGTTATATTTGTTGATATGATGAAATGCTTTGACTCTGTTTATAGAAATGGGTTTTGGTTTAAATTGTACAATTGCGGAATTCAAGGGAAGTTACTCAGTATAATACATGATATGTATCAAAAAGTAAAATCTTGTGTTAAGTCATGTTCTAGCTATTCTGATTATTTTCTGTATGCTGTAGGTCTTCGTCAAGGGGAAGTTATGTCCCCTTTTTTATTGAAGACCTTGAATTATTACTTCAGTCTGAAACTGAAGCAGGTCTTACTTTAGATGACACAGTTTTAATTCTTTTATTATTTGCTGACGATATGGCTATCATAGGTAAAAGCCCATTTTGAATCGCTTATTGTCTTATTGTAATAATTGGGGCCTTAAAGGTAATACTTCAAAAACAAAAATTATGGTATTTCGTAAAAGGGGTGCACTTTTAGCATCTGAGCATTGGACCTATGATGGCCAAGAAATCGAAGCTGTTAATGATTTCAATTATCTAGGTACTTTTTTTAACTAAACTGCTAAATTTATTCTAAATCAAGAACATTTAATTGGAAAAGCTTTAAAAGCAATGAACATATTGTTATGTAAATGTAAAGAGTGTGACCTTATTCCAAAAACATTATGTCACTTGTTTGATGCCTTCGTTTCACTAATATTAAATTATTCATGTGAAATTTGGGTTATTCTAAATCTAATGCTCCGGTCACATATTTACGGATAATGCCACGGAAGAGCTACGGTCTAATCGTTCACGGATTACTTCGGAAATGTGAAATTCCGTAGTCCGCTACGGTTCCAGTACGGACACTCAACGGTATGAGTACGGTGTCCGACGGATTTACCACCAAAAGCCCCCGGAGAGACACGGATTGTTACGGATCGACACGGTTTGATACGGAGCGACACGAATCAGGACGGACGCACTACGGATACACTACGGTCGACTACGATATAAGCACGGGTTAGTACGAATAATTACGGTCTGATACGGAGAAGAACGAATTGATACGGAGAAGAACGAATTGCCACGGATCGATACGGACCTATTTTATCCGTCCACAACCTCTTGCATGCTCATTTTCAAAATGCCTCACAAGAAAAAAACACCTAGAAAACGAATTGCAGAGTTTGTAGATTTTGGCGGAGAGGACTCGGCCTCATCGCACCCGATCCCCGAGACATATCAGGTCCGATTAAAGTGAATTTCTTGAAGGACGCCGAATCCTCAACAAGTTCGGCCATGAGAGCCTCATACTAAACATGAAGGGTCTTCGTAAAAGCCCATCTCTAGTCTATCATCTCGTCTGTCTTCTCTTACCTGATTAGATATGGACTAGACTAAGTAATCATTGATGAAACATGTTGATCTTTTAATTTTAGAATTTGCTGTTCATTTTACAATTCATTAATTATCGTGAATGTTTATGTTTTAAAAATATGTAAAAAGCTTGTAAATTAATCTTTTTATCACTCAAGGGCCAGCGTCCGAGGCTTATGAGACACTTCGTTTAATATACATAATTATTTACTCCAATTTCACGATCCAATGTTTGTAAAATATGTAACATTAAATGTTATTATATTACTTATGAATTGTAGTACGATATTAATTTTTACCTCTATGCATGTCATCAAGCAGCTCGACCACTGCATTCTGAGCCATTTCAATATAAAGCTGCAGCCAGGTAATTGGCAATTATCGGGTCACAACCATGTTTCTTCATATGACACCAGTACTGGTTGGTTCCAGGAAGCGGACTCGAAAGTGATTAATATAAGTTGCAAGAACTTGTTTCGCAATCGAGCTAAAATAAATATGTTTAAACCAATTATCATTTATTGAATGTTCCCGCAAATATGTCTGTTTTTAACAAGAAGGTAGTATTAAAACCCTTGAAAAAGTACATGATACTTAATTTATTTTTTTAATTTATCCGTACTAAACAGTAGTGGACCGTACCATTCCGTACCGTTTCGTGTTGCAACGCAATAAACCGTATAAGACCGTGCTAATCCTTGCCTCTCCGTAGTACAACGTATTACGACCGTGGCTTTCCGTGACAATGCCGTATTAATCCGTATTAAAACCGTAGTTTATACGTAAGGTAACCGTACAAATACGTAGTTCTCTGTACCAAACCGTGGAAATCCTTGACAAGTTGGTGGACTACGAATCAGTACGGACTAGTACGGTTTTCGTACGGACCAGTACGTATCAGTACGGTTTAATACGGACTAGCAGGGATACGCTACGGGTGATTTTTCCGTAGCAAATTTTTGTGCATGTTCAAAAATTGTCAAGGATCGCTACGGATATACAAGGACTACTACGATTGATTACGGTTACAATACGGAGAGCTACTGACCAGTACGGGTAGCTACGGACGATGCCGGAATTAATCCGTGGCTCTTCCGGGGACGTATTTCGTGAATATGTGACCGGGGTATAAGGAAATTGAAAGAATACATTTAAAATTTTGTAAAAGGTTGTTAAAAGTTAGATTAAATACATGTAATACTAGTGTATATAGTGAACAACTTTGAAGATATCCATTATATATTCATAGATATGTAAGAATAATTATTAAGCTCTGGTTAAAACTTGTAAATACAGACAATATAATATTAAAAACAGTTTATACTCAAGCATTTGAAGATAGCAATAAAGGGCAGACAAATTGGGTTTCTAATGTTAAAAATATTTTAAATAATTATGGATTTTCATACATTTTTGATAATTGTAACAATATAGACAAGGTTATGTTTTTATCAGAATTTAAATGTCGTTTTATTGATTCCTTCAAACAAGAATGGTTCAGTAACCTTGAAAAAAGTCCTGTTTTATGTATATATAGAAATGTTAAATCTTGTTTTGAATATTAATGTTATCTAAATATACTACCCAGGTGTTTTAGATTTTATTTTTGTAGATTAAGAATGAATGGTCTTCCGCTCAGAATTCAAACTGGTAGATTTAGTAGAAATAGGATTCCTCACGAAGAAAGATATTCTTTGTGTTGTAATAACTTAGATATTGAAGATGAATACCATTTTATTTGTATATGTAAATGCTATGACTTTATAAGAAAACAACACTTAAAAACTTACTATTATAGAAATCCATCAGTATACAAATTTACTCAACTGTTTAACATGAGCTTGTACGTTTATCAAAATTTGTTAAAGAAGCTCTTTCCATTAGGTATACACTTTTAACTAATCATGTCTGAATTGAATCAATGTTCATTCTCCAAATGATTTGTTTCCATTCCAATAATATTCATAATTAATCTTACTAGTATTTATTTATAAAAGTACACAGTAAATGCACATCTTTTTTCATAGCTATATGCATGTTGTTTATTTGTTTATTTGTTTATCTACTTATTTATTATCATGAAACTATTGAATACGTAAAATATGATATCCAGATATTGTTTGTAAATTTTCATGCAGCTAAAATATATGTGAATATAATGTATTGTAGATGATGTACTTTGTACAAGTCTTAATAAAATTTCTGTTCTGTTCATTTGCACCATAAATCTTAAATGTTATACTTTGAAACCTGAATTGCTGTCAAAAACAATCATGCAATTTATCGTTTGACTTTTTAAAAAGTTCTCAATGTTGAACATTTGATGTCAACATTTTCTCATATATATTGCCTTTATTTAGACATATTATTAAATATTATATGGACGGTTCTCCAATTAGAGAACTTAAACAAATATTAATTATTTTAAAGAAGAAAAAACATGATGTAGATTGACTTTTATTATCTTACTGTTTTATGGGGGTTTTTTTTGTCGTATTATACGGTTAACAACTTCATTTATCATTTCTCATTTCACAAAGGAGGATGAAACTAACGCCATTTTAAAACCGCCGTTGTAAAAAAATAAAATAGAAATTGACCAATAAACTTTCTAGTAGAATTGTTTTCTCTACAATAAAACGAAGTTAGATATATAAATCATATGATAAAAAGGTAATGAACGACTCTGACCTATGATATTATGATTAATACAAAGATACTTTCCTTACCATGGAACGCGAGTGTGTTAAACTGTTTGACAGTGTTTATTACCTAGTATGACAATTAACCTTTCCAATTAGCCATGCCGTGTCCATTCACTTGAATCACAACTGATGTTTTATGAACTGTCCTGCCTAACAAGAAAATAAAACCAAAAACACATCAGATTAAGAAATGTTAACTTACATTTGATTCATTTTTGTGTAAATGTAGGTATAAAAGTATGAAGCGGACACTATATGCACTGATCTTTTTTCACGGTAATTATATTTATTGTATTATAATTTTAAGATGTTGACAAAATAACATGACTTTTCTTAATTCTTTTTTTTAGAAATAGAATTTAAAATGAAAAGTTATGCCAAAAGTTTATCCTGTAGAGTTTGCTGAACCCGAAATTTACTGCAAAAGAAACTTTAATCTCATTTCTATTAAAATTGATACCTAAAATCGAACAAAACACTTTGAAGCTTGTGTTTCAGGTGCCTATTAAAAAGTACAATCAAAATTCAAATATTCGAGCTGTAATATCTTAGCTTATTATAAATGTTTTAACTTAAGAACATTATCTGATGATTGTCATATAAAAGGTAAATTGAATATAAAGGGTCTACAATTTCTAATTAGTATAAATTTATAAGAGATTCACGAATAATTAAAGTATGAAAGAATTACAATGTCGTAATTAAAAACTATTATGTTTCAGTAACCTCATTGCTTTTCAATACATCAACTTTACTTATTTTTGTATTTCTTGTTTTGCAAAATAAGTTCTTAAAAGAGTTTTAACCATGTGTTTTGTGAACGGAGCATATATTTTAATTTGAATGACACAGATATACAATTTACACGTATTGAACAAAGTAGAGTGAACAAAATCAAATCAGTTGTGAGTTCAACACATGTTTTAGTAAATTTCTGCACAACATTTATCAGTGAATTAGTATATACAAACAGCGAACATTTGTGATGATCTGCATTAAATAGAGAAAAACAGAATCTGTAAAGAAAGCCCAAAACGCCCCCTGGCACCGGCTTTAGCAGAAATCAACATTTAACATGAAATTGTTTAATTTTAAATTTTGAAACATACACAGATGTGTTCAGAAGACCAAATTCAAATTGCTAAAAGCATATTCGAAATACTCCAACCCTTGACATTCTCGAACCGGAAATAATTAGCCTTTGCCCCTGCAAAGAACTAGACCAGGCCTGCACATCAATCAGTCTTAGCAGACTCTATACTGTTGGTACCTCATAATTTGTATCTTGATAATAAAATCCATTGAAAATCAAATTCAAAGCTTGACAAACCCGGTACACAAATTCAGCGGACAACAGCAAAATAAAACTCAAAAGTACATATAAAACACCTATACTTTTAACGATATTCAATTTGATAATACATGTATATATTCACAAAAATTTGAATGAATAGTACAGCAGTATGTTTCTCATTTGTAAAATAATTCTGCTTATGTTATGTAAAAATGAAGATAATTTTGTTGGGACCAATGCTGACAAGTGCTAGCTGTGATGATATAATGATGCATTGATGATGATTTAACAATGCACTACTGACATTTTGTTGTGGATTGTTTTTGTTTGTTTTTTGTTTTTGTATCTTGTAATGAGAACATAATAGATGTATCATTTGATATACTCAACTCTATTGTCACAGGTATGATGTTCTTTTATCGTTAAAATTAGGTGATGTTGAAAGTTAGTGTTTTGTTTATTTGTTTTTTTTTCTTACTGGGGCAATATTTTGTTGACATGTATATATCTTTGACTAGCTAAATATGATACTATATAATCTGTGTCTTGATGATGATGTACAATAACTTGGCATTTATAATGTAAATATGTGTTATTATCTTCTTATAATATGTATCATTGCATAATGTCCTAAGTGAATAATGAATGCATAGTTATATAAAGATTAATAATTATAGGTGTGTGATGGTTAGATTGTTACAATCAAGTCAATCATATAATTATACAAACTAATATTGTTTTGTGATAGAAATACACAAATGCTGTTCATGAACCTATCTATAATCTAATATTTTTCACTTTGATCTTTTAAACATTCTCACGTCTAAATGCTTATGATTTCGCACTCAATATTGTAAATTAAACCAATACGACATTATAAGGCTTGTATTTAATGACAGCATTGGTCATTGAAGCAAGGGAAGCAACTTATTTTTTAACAAGTAATGGACGACCATTGTTACTCTCCCTTTTTGAAAATAATATAACTTAAAAAGTAAAAGTATATAAAAAAATAATTGTATTTGGAATACATGTTTTATACATGAACATTATATGTTATACACTACAAATTGTCCTTTTTTTTCATTACAAAACTGTTATCCATCTCTCACAGTTTATTCAACGCAGAAATTTTTATACGAAATATATATATATATATTACTGGTAAATAGTTTTTACTGGTTTTCATATAAATTATAATATGTGTATCTCATCTTACAAACTTCTTGATTTATTTTCATTATCAATATGGGTAGTATTACACGCCCATACGTTCTTAGCAAACTACTTTACTTTTTCTCTCAATATTTCTCATTCTTTCTTTTGCCGGCCATTGTCTCTGTAGGGATTTTTCACCTCATTATCTACGCATGCCAAAAATAACCTAATGTCCATTGATATTGTTGTATACAGGGTGAGAATAGGTCTTTCCTCTGCTCTTCACTGGAAACTTAAAGGTCTATCTCGATTTTAAAAATTTGAAACACTGCTGTGGTTATCCTTTCTGATCATCTTATGTGGTGATGTGCATCCTAACCCAGGGCCTGAATCAACAACATCCACGTCTGAGTCCACAACTACAAACGCATCAAATTTTCATGACACTTTTGCTAATAATTTAACAATTGTTCATTACAATGTCCAGAGTTTTCTAAGCAAAAAAGACATCCTTCTTACTGAGCTATCTCATGTTGACATTTTAGTTTTTACTGAAACATGGTTAAGCCCAGACATTGACTCTTCAACTATACATTTTGAAAACTATTCATCACCACACAGAAAAGACAGAATCACTGATAATTATGGCGGAATTCTTGTTTACGTTAAAGATAGCATAAATGTGATAAGAAGATTCGATTTAGAAATATCCAACACAGAATGCATTTGGATTGAAATTAAACTTAAGCACAAAAAAATTCTCCTTGGTACATTTTATCGTCCACCAAACTCCTCCCCAAATATTCTCACAAATATAGAAAACTCAATTGGATTGGCTAAAGATACTAATATAGATATTATTGTTACAGGTGACTTTAACCTTGATACACAGAAACTCTCATCTAAACAGAAGATTGATAACATTTGCATGGAGAACGGCCTTTCTCAGCTGATAACTGAACCAACTCACTTTACCGAATCTTCAAGTTCTATCCTAGATCTCTTTCTCCTTTCCTGCCCTGAATCTGTTGCTTTTTGTGGAGTTGGTGAACCCTTCCTTGATCAAAACATACGTTACCACTGTCCTATTTTCTGCTGCTTTAAGTATACTAAAAGTAAGTTTAATACTTTTAAAAGGATAATATGGCAATTTGAAAAGGGTAATTATAATAATCTTAGACAAAAAGTATCAACCTTTGACTGGAACACTTTAAAACATAACGATATCAATCAATATGCACTTAATATTACAACGAAACTATATACATTTACTCAAGAAACAATTCCTAACAAAACAGTTACAATTAGACAAACAGATCCACCCTGGATGCACAATGAAATAAGAAAATACATCAGAAAGCGCAAAAGAGCATACGATAAAGCTAAAAAGTCAAACAATCAACATCATTGGGTTATTTATAAGCAGTTAAGAAACAAAACAACACAACTTATTAGAAATGCACGCACCAGTCACACAAGCAAACTTGCTGAAAGGTTAAAATCAAACAACCTGACATCATCAGATTATTGGAAAATATTGAAACAATTTATCAAACCAAATACACGCAAAATAGCAACATACCAACTATCACTGACAACGACAAAATATACACAACAAACATTGACAAAGCCAATGCCTTTAATAACTTCTTTCAATCACAAACTGTACTTGCTGATAACAACAAACAACTCCCAGAAACAACACAAACTGTTCATAATCACTTAGAAAACATAAATATAACACCACTAGAAGTCGCATCAATACTTAAATCACTAAGCGTAGGAAAAGCGGTAGGTCCAGACCTCATAAACAATAAAATCCTAAAAGAACTCTCTCAAGAACTTGCTGAACCACTTAGTTGCCTATTTAATCATTCTTTACAGTCTGGTAAAGTTCCTTCACAGTGGAAATTAGCCCATGTATGTGCTGTGTATAAAAAAGGAGATCCTCAAAATATTTCTAATTATAGACCAATCTCACTTCTTAGCACTCTTAATAAAGTAATGGAAAAAATTATTCACAAACATGTTTACAACTTCTTTCTTGATAACAACACTATTACTTCACTCCAGTCTGGATTTGTTGCCAAAGATTCTACTGTAAATCAACTCACTTCAATTTATCATACTTTCTGTCAAGCTCTTGATGAAGGCAAAGAAGTTAGAGCGGTATTTTGTGATATTTCAAAAGCTTTTGATCGGGTCTGGCACAAAGGTCTAATACATAAATTATCTCTAACAGGTATATCTGGTAAACTTCTTGAATGGTTCAAAGACTATTTATCTGATCGACAACAACGAGTTGTACTTTCTGGATCTACTTCAGACTTACTTAATATCAACGCTGGTGTTCCTCAAGGCTCAATATTGGGACCTCTTCTGTTTATTGTCTATATCAATGACATTGTCTTGGACATACAATCAATCATTAGACTGTTTGCTGATGACACATCTCTCTATCTTATCGTTGAAAACCCTATCACCGCTGCTGAAATCATGAACTCAGACCTTAATAAAATAAGTAATTGGGCAGATACTTGGCTTGTCAAGTTCAATCCGAGCAAAACAGAATCAATTCTTATAACTAAAAAACATCGTTCACATAATCATCCACCTCTTTTTATGAATAATATTCAAATCTCTGAAGTAGAATCCCATAAACATCTTGGAGTTACGTTATCCAACAACGGGTCCTGGTGTGAACACATTTCTAATATTAAACACAAAGCTTGGCAAAGAATCAATATCATGCGGAAACTTAAATTTACCCTAGACAGAAAGTCCCTAGAAACTATTTACTTCTCCTTTATTAGGCCAATATTAGAGTATGCAAACGTCGTATGGGACAATTTGACACAAAAAGAGGAACTTGAATTGGAACAGATACAGTTGGAAGCAGCTCGAATCATAACTGGAGCCACCAAATTAGTCTCACTATCAAATCTGTACAAAGAAACTGGTCTTGAAACTCTTAAATCTAGAAGGCTTAAACACAAATTAATAATGTACTACAAAATGACAAACTTCCTGGTACCATCATATTTATCATCTCTAGTCCCTGAATCTGTTGATGATGTCACTCCTAATAATTTTAGAAATGGTCATAATTTACCAGAAACATAAATTGTAATACTCAATTCTTCTCTAAATCTGTTCTTCATTCTACAATCAGTGAGTGGAACCAACTACCTGTGCAGTCGCAGAAATTCAGAAAGCATCGGCATATTTAAGAAGAAACTAAATTCTACACTTTCAAAAGTACCTATATACTATTATCACGGTAACCGTAAGTCCCAAATCTTACACACACGACTTAGAACCCATTGCAGCATTCTAAAGGAAGATCTCTTCTCTAAAAACATAATTGATGACCCTTCTGTCAGTGCGGTGAGATTGAAGATTCATGTCACTTTTTTTTTAATTGTAATCAATTTTCCCGCCAGAGAGCCATATTCAAGGAACAACTTCAACAAATAACAACAGTTACATTGTCAACTATACTGTATGGCGATAGAGGTCTCAGCGATGAAACAAATGCCAAAATATTTGATCTTGTACATGAATATATCTCTAGCACACAGCGGTTTTGTCTTGCCTAACTCCTTACATAATTCATAAACAATATAAATGGTGTACTTACGAGCGTTTATCACGTGCTTTCATAATTCAACATTCTTTTAATTCATCCTATACTATATTATTATGATTTATAATTTGTCTCTTATTTAACAATAATAATAAGATACTATGTCTTATATCCAGGATTTAAATACTCCCGATAACCACAAAAATAATTCAAATAATTTATATTGACACATAAGTAAAATTTCCTTTTCTTATATAAAAATTATCACAGATATTTGCTGTGCAAAACTGACCTATCATCCCAATCAAAGACAATGGCCACTTCTCGTTCTCTGAGTTCTATAACTATCCTTCTGTATATGTTTCTTCTTTACTATAATTCTTGAATGTTCTCATCAAAAAGATCAAACTATTTGTTCAGACTAAAGATCGAGCTTTTTTTCCCCTTCCGTACCCTCTTTATATATAATCGCACATTTGTTGTAATTCTCATTTTTTCGTCGTTTGTTGTATTTTCATTACTTATCTCACTCTTTCTAGGCGTAATAATATAATTATTTCATGTTAGTAACTAGTATACTTACAAGTACGTGTTGTTACATTGCAATTTGCTTTATTTTTACAATTTACAGGAAAGAAATCTACATAAGTCTTTGACTTCCTTTTCAATCCTGTTTATATAATGTTGTTGTATCATAATTGTATATGTTTGTATTATATGAAATAAATACTGTTTAAACCAATGATATTCAGTACTAATATACTTATCCTCAATTAAATTTTGAATGTTTCAATAATGAAACTATAAATTATTAATACACTCACTCGTATATTTAATTATGTTTTATGACAGTAAATTAAAAATGAATTTATGAATGTAAGTTTAAAAGGCGCTGTCATGATCGTCCATAATTAGGAACAAAATATGATTTATGGTGACAAAAATATATTTAAAATATTCCAATCTGACTAAATCTACTTTTAAGTTATTTCTTGCCTTATGCGTAGCGTTAATTAGGAGCTGATTTTAATCAGATGTAAATAGAATTAAGAATTTTTTTTCACAAACAAGAATAGAACAGGCATTTAATTTAAAACGTGTACATAATATATCGTCATGCAAATAAATAAAGAAAACACTTATATGTCACGTGGTCATGATAATACAAAATATAATATGATACTTACTAGTAATCAGGTAAGAGAAAATACATTTGTTTGGTAAGATATGATATTGGATAATATATTCTAAAACATACAGTACTAAACATTCCTACTGGCAACCTCACAGGATACCACTAAACTTAATAAATAAACTGACTTCCGTTCAAGCCGGTGCTAGGGGGCGTGAGGGATGTTGCACTTTTCATAATCGCTCATGTACAGACTCAATCAAACCGAGTCTTCAGTTTCCATGTATTTTTCTTGTGATGTATGCTTCCGAGGGATGACACTTTATCCAGATTTTTATAATCTGAGCAAATATTTCAAATTAACAAAATGACCTAATGTTTAATTTTGTATGAATGATATTTTTATATCGTTGCAATATCACATAGATTCTATTTAAAATATCTATATTACTTCTTTTACAGTGACCTTACAACTGGCACGTGGTCTTACACAATCAGAACTAAACTATATAGCAAACAACTTAGATGTGCGGGTGAAAATAACTGACAATCTCAGATATGACGGCAAGAAACATACAATGATTATAACATTAACTAACAAAGGAGATCGGGCAATGAACATGAATAATGTAGAGATGTTTTTCCACAGTTTCTTCATGGTGGAACCGGACTATTTACCCGACCCTCGGGGATACAGATTAGCGGACTATAATATAAGATTGCATCATGTTAACGGAATGTTGTTCCGCGCAGAATTTTTGCGCAGATTTGGTCTTCTGCTACCAAACGAACCAAGGGAGCTCAAGCTTACTATTCAAGACTGGGCGGTGTCAAAAACGGATGTGCCAAATAATTGGTACGTGACATCAGACGGATTGAGCGCCAAAACTCTGGCAGCTACAGCGGTTGAAGATCAGTCCTTCGTTGAAGATTTCACGGATCCGAATCAGTACAAACGCTATCGTAATGATCAGTACAGTCCATTCACGCCTTTAGAACGCTTTGATAACATAAAGGTAGACGATTTGGGTAACAGAGCAGTTAGCTATGCTGTCTTACCGACACCGAGAGAGGTTGGCTTTGATACATCCAGACCCGTGAGGATAGACAATACATGGACCGTATCAGGAGCTCCGAGTCTTGTAAATGAAGCCACTTTCCTAGCAAGTAAGTACGCGTATAAGTTATGATATACAAAAATGATATTGACTTAAATTTGTATACCGAGATATATACGGTATATAAATAAATACATATGCATATCAAAAAAGCATCTAGAAGAATTATATACAAATCAATAAGCTCTTAAAACGGAGAAATTAAATGCATATGTTAATTTTGTTCCTTATCCATAACAGCAATAACAAACATTGCAAACGAACATTATAACACATATTAATAAATGTATCTTATAAAGTGATGTGAGTTGCCTTAAAAAAGGAAAATAATTATATATAGTGTATATCAGTATAATTATAAGGTGGTGACACAGTGAACACTATTCATACTATCATACTGGGGCAGGGGAAGAATAATATATGAGTAAATTGTATCAATTTCGTAAATGATGATATTATGGGCTACTTTTCTTTATTCCTACCTTTCACTATGAATGACAATCTGGATATTATGACCGTTAAAGAGAGAGACATTTATGATATATAGATATATATAAACGAAATAAATATGTATTCACAGGCTTATTATAACCACATTATAAGACTAATTGACAGATTTTATATTCTAATATGAAAACAATTATCTTTGTTTGATAGAATGTGCTGCAATAAGTAGGTTATCACCGCTTATTATTAAAAATGCTATAACAATTTGCACACAATAGTTTATTTAATTATATGAAGCTGTATAGTGAAATCATTTGCCAGAGTAAAGTTTCTTAAAGGCACAACATCCTTTATATAATATAGATGATTTTATACATCTTTTAAGAAAGAGAACACGTGAGTTTTATGACGTTTACATTAATGTTTTAAGGCATATAAGATGCTTATCACATGGAAAAAAGTCAGACAAGTAGCAACATGTAATCTAAGTAGTATTTTGACTTCCATACAAAATACTTAATCACTATAACTGTACTAATTACAAGAAGCAAATGTACTATTTAGTTATGTTTTGGAAACTTAGAAAAGACACCAAGAAAACAAAATGAGAAATAAAAACACAAAAGCATTTCTGGGACATACTGGGCATTTAATTAAACAACTATCGTAAGAGTAATAAGTTAACAATACTGTATGTTAAACGAAACAAATAATTGTATTGATTTTTAAAAACTTGCTTTTTAAGTAGTAAAAAGGAAAAACATCAAAATTTATGTATTTCTATTTAGTTAAGATTTTTACATTCTTTGCTCCAGGTACAGATAAAGAGGACATGAATCTTTAATTTTTATAACACATTCATTAATGTAAATAAGCTAAAACCACAAAAGGCAGATAACTATGGTGTTGACTTTTATTTGAAAATCAATGACAACGTGACATTTTTTTTAACAAAACGACATTGCTTGATTTTTACAAGCGTGTATTTTCATTTAGTCCCCTTTTTTAAAACATCAAATTATTTTGTTTTTAAATTGGTTAATAATCATTCGTTCTAAAGGAAATACAGAGGTGCAAATTACTGCTTACTACTGGCCAGAAAAATACGTAGTTCTAGCAACCGTTAAAGCTATGGCTATTATCTAAATAGGTCTGGGTAACAGAGAATTTCGGGTACAGAACAGAACAAAATTTTATTACCTCTAGTCACATAAAAGCAGCAAGCAAAATATGTTAAAATAAAGTCACATAATATAACATGTATTCACCAGAAATAAAATGCACATTAAAGCCTTCTTTACCTACCATGTTAAGAAATAACAACTTGGTCGTTTGTATGTACTTGAGTTTATTATACTCGCCACTGGTTCCCATAGGGGCGAGTCTTCCAGAAGAGTATTAGACATCTTAGATTTTTTGGAGGATAGTACAAGATACAGATACAGAAAGATGTCCCAATTCCAGAAGCTTCTCATGGTTCTTTAGCTTTCAAGGTGTTTAAGCACTCATACACGGGACCTCGATTTAAAGTCTCACCCGAAAGCCCTTGGACTTTGTGTAGGACAGCATAAATTGACACCTATTTAAAGTCCCAATTGCTGAACATCTACTAAAATTTCAATCACTATTCTTCTCGTGCCGTCCTCAGTAACAGCGCTCTCTATTAGTGCTTTCAGCACTTTTATTTGAACGAAATCTTATGAACATTAGATGAATGTGACATGGTGAAATCATGGCAAATCATCTCGTTAATTAACAACTTACAGTAACGTAAAATAATCAGCTTAATCTGTCATATTATTGGTCAGTATCAAGTGTATGACTTATCAATAAAATCAAAGTTTGACAAATCTTCTATTTATTATAGCAAAGCTTGGGCTGCCGTCAATTGAAACGCCTACTGCAACAAATTCCATTATTTTGGAAATCGGAAACACCGGATTTGCCGACGAAGAGTCTTACGTCATCAAATCACTAGATTGTGCTGACGTCATCTCCATTAAAGGTCAAGGACCAGCAGGAGTATTTTATGGTATTCAGACGCTCCTGAGTCTTTTAACTATCAATGGCACAGTTGGCTTTAGACCTCTTCCGGGTATCCATGTTGTCGATACACCTAGATTCGAGTATAGAGGCGTGCATCTGGACGTTGCCCGTAATTTCCAACCCAAAGAGACAGTTATGGATCTTGTAGAAACAATGGCCCAGTACAAGCTTAATAAACTACATCTACATCTATCTGATGACGAGGCGTGGCGACTAGAAATACCGCAACTTCCAGAATTAACAACTGTAAGAATTTTAGATAAATATCAATTAATATTGATATTGAAACAAATAAAAACACTTCCGACTTAAAAATAAAATATTTAATTTATCGGGAACAAATATATAAATATCAAGTCTTGTGGTGGCATTTTAGCAACAACAAAAAGTGACTGACGTAAAATCTTTCAAAAGTCACGTAACAAAAAAGTTTTATTCCAATTTCCTTTTGTCTAAATTGTTGACATTACAGGTCACAAATTATGAATGAAGTAAATAATTATGATCGATGGTCATACTTGAATTGATAATAAGCTATATATTTTTATACGTAGGTTGGAGGTCGGAGATGCCATGATTTGAAAGAGCAGAACTGTATTATTCCCCAGCTTGGATCAGGACCGTTACCCCGAGCTCCCGGTTCCGGATACTACCGACGTGAAGACTACCGAGACATTTTACGGCTTGCCGCAAAACGACACGTAGAAGTTATCCCAGAATTCCAAATGCCTTCTCACGCTCATGCAGCGGTAAAAGCAATGGAGGAACGATTCCGGAGTAAAAATGACATTGACCATCTTCTAACGGATTTAGAAGACAATTCAAATTACTTATCCGTGCAGATGTTTTCTGATGACGCAATGAATCCTTGTATTGAATCAACATACAACTTCATGAAAACTGTCATTCAAAGCATCAAAAATATGCATATTGGCATTACACCACTTCAGATCTTCAATTTAGGAGGTGAAGCCGTGCCAGAAGGAGCATGGGTGAATTCAACGGCATGTCGTAAAGCGTTTCCAAATGTCGCACCAGAAGACTTACCAGTTTATGCTAAAGCTTACTTTATGAGTCGCCTGGCGAAAATGGTTATAGTGGACGAAGGACTACGGTTGGCAGGTTACGAGGATGCTTTTTTCTTGAATGGAGAGCCTCTTCCGGGTGGATCAGAAAATCTATTGGTATATCCTTACCAGAATGTCTGGGAGTGGGGCCTAGCAAACAGAGCATACAAGCTCGCTAACGCCGGATATCCCGTAAGTTTTTATGTCATCTGGTTTTAATCTTCAAATTATTCTAAACATATAATAGATGATCTTAAACAAATCGTGTGTTCGAATTTGATTAACAAATTCTAGATGAAAATGGTTTTCAAAATTTCGGATACAGTCTTCTTGATCGATAACCTTTCACACAATGCAAGTGGGACTTTGTTTTACATTCCCTATCTTTCACACTTGAGAAGAACTGGCGTCTTAACCTGAATTTTTATTTCAGGTCGTCTTATCTCCAGTCACACATCTTTCTCTGGATCATCCTTATGAGCCGGACCCGAATGAAAGAGGTCTTTACTGGGCATCGAGGTAATGATTCCAGGGCGGTGTGTTCGTTATTTGTTTCTGTTTTTCAGTTTATATGATGTAAAGTTTGAGTTACATTGCCTGGCAAAACTTTATAAATTGGCAATTGACATTTGCGGATACAATTTTACTAAAACCATACAAGGAATTCTTGTCATTACCCGCTAGATATTGGCTCCAGAACATATCTGTTTCTGCTTTTAATTGTCACTAGACTAATTTGTAATCTAATTATTATTTCAAAGTGAAAATTGCTGCTGTATTTAAGTAGATTATGCCAGTTTGAATCTAATTACCAAGTCTGTGCACCTTACAAACAGTTCGAACACGAATCGATTACCCTTTGTTAACAACATTATACTTTATTAAATCTCTTATTTTGCAACACCGCTCAAGTGATTGTCTGTTGCTTAACAGGATAGGTTTAAGGCAGTTCTGGAAACCTTTTTTTCGTGAAATTACAGTACAAATAACAGCAGTACTGAATGCCTGTTTTCAGCTAGATATTACCGTTTTATCTAAAAATTTCTTCCTTAAGATATGAGTGTATGTACTAGATAAGTATCTTTTCTACAACTGATAAAGATATTAAATTGTTTAAACGCATATGTTTGCATTTAGTTTGTGTATTTAGTTACTCAACTGAGCGATGGTATACTGTTTATACAATGTATGATTGATACTATACGCATTCTTACTGTTTTTAATTTTGAATATTTAAAATTATCATGTGAAACGGAATATACCGTTTTGAACTTTGTTTTGTTATACATGTATCTTACACTAAAATGGTGCCTCAATATTTTTTGTATTAATAAATCAGTCGTCGTGAAATTCTGCACATTAAATCATAATTATGTCTCCCTTACCGTTTGTTATATAATGTTGATATTATTTGATTCAGGTATTTGGACACAAACAAGGTATTTTCACTACGTCCCGACAACCTGTATGATAACATTGACGTCAAACGTTCTGGAGAGCCTCTCACACGACAGGATGTATGTGGCGTCAATGACGTCAACTGTGATCCGCTACTTAAACCGGAAAATATTAAAGGTAAATTTATGATGAAATTGTACGTTATGTATATACATATATGTACTTGATCACATTTTCAGATAAATGCAACATTTGAGTTTGATGAAAGTAATAATCATTTTTCCTAGAATATTGCCTTTTATAATACTGCACGTTTGTAACGTCGCTTTTCATTAGATATTCTTGACGTTTATATAAACTACATACACGTCTGCTGTGAAATTATAAAGGAATTTCATGTTTTCCTCTGAAAAAGGAAGTTTGCTGTGTTATAAATTCGTTATTAAGATTCTGGACAGTTTTTATGGCCGTGTATAAAATGTTGTTTGGAATATAATCCTCCCCTGGCAGCTCGCGTTATATTTACAAGCAACCATTTATATAGGACCATATAACCTATACTAGTAACTGGTAATATAAGAAGATAGCCAATCGTTCTTCGTACAGAATGTTTTTGTTGTTGTATTTGTTGTTGTTTTAATTTATATATTTTCCCCCATTATTTATAAGGTATTCAGTCATTTGGTTGGACTGAACTGATCAAGGATAAGGATACTCTACAGTTTATGATGTTCCCGCGGTTAATAGCGCTAGCAGAGAGGGCGTGGCATAAAGACGTCTTTGAGAACACCACTATTCAACCTGACAGAGAATATGAGAAGTTCGCGAACAAAGTCGGCTACCGAGAAATGCCGAGACTTGACAACGCTGGAGTTAAATATCGAATACCACCTCCAGGTGTCGCGTAAGTGCCCTAAAGTTGTCATAGTTGACAGACTATGTGTATAAAATGTATTGAAGTTTATTTAGTGTAGAAACGAAGATTACGAAATTAAGAGCTTTCATATCTTTATAAAGAATGTAAAATAATAGAAATAAATTGTGCAGCTACAGTAAGCCTGTTTTAAGGGACCGACTTTGGAAATCAAGAAAAAAGGTCGACATTGGTCTACAAAATGTTTTTCTTTAAATGTGTAAAACAGAAACAAAACAAAACAAAACAAAATAGAACATTTTTGCAACTCATTTTCTTGTCTTTATCTGTGTATATTGCCTGATAAAAACTTCTCACCCCATGTTATTTTATTTACAGCATTGGAACAAACAACAACAGGGACTTCCAAGTTACGATGAAATCCGAGTTTCCGAATCTACCTCTACAATATAGTTTTGATGGCGGTATCACGTGGTCTGATTATACCAGACCGTTTATACTAAAGGATGTCAATCAAGTTGTACACCTGAGAACGCTGTAAGTACATGTATATCTAAACACAATTTGTTACATATACACTAGTCTCAAGTTATGTCTATATCAGAGCACTGTTATGTCTATAAAGAACTTCTGTTATGTCTATAAGGACATCTGTTATATCTATAACAGACTACTGTTATATCTATATCTCTATATCATCCTACGGTTATGTCTATACTAAACTATTTTTATGTCTATAACAGACTACTTAAAGTGTCTTCTTATGTCTATATATCTCTATCAGATTATTGTTATGTCTATACTAGGCTGCTATTATGTCTATACCAACCTACTGTCATTTCTATATCAGCTTATTGCAATATCTATACCAACCAGCTGTTATGTCTGAAAATAATCTATTGTTATGTCTTTTCGATACTTTTATTATTATGTCTTAACAAAACTCTGTTATGTCTATACCAACAACTAATATGTATGTATCAAACTATTGATACGCCTATACCAGATGGTGCCATGTCATTACCAATAATTTGTATGAATATACCACGCTTCTGTTATGTCAGTACTGTCTACTTTTATGCTTATACAATATTGATGTTATGTCTACTGTCAACACTACTTTTGTGTCTATATCAACGTGCTGGTATTTCCATGCCCAAATCAGACTATAATGTCTATCTCCATACCATATTGCTGTTATGTGCATACCAAACTTCAGTTATGTCTTTGCAAGACTATTGTCATGTATATATCAAATTACTGCTTTTGCCTTTGCTAAGCGGCGTCCAAAAGAATATTGCTCCGTGTTGTTATTAATGGCATATTTCTTGATTCAAATATCATTTTTAGCTACAATAGTTAAAAGTTATATAATAAAACACTTATTGGCTAGTGAGTAATTGTATACGATGTGGTATTCACTGGCAGAATATCAGTCAATGTGTCTATTCTACTGTTGAATATCACATTGTGTATCATTGTCATACATCTATTGTAGACCATGTTTATACAATGTATATCTATTGGTTACCGGAATATTGTTATGTCTGTTTCTTGTATTATAAAATTTATATTTCCTCAATTACTTAGATTTTATCTCAGCTCTATTTAAGTAAAAATAAAAAAGCGCTAAGATTAAAGTATTAAAGTGTGAATATAGGATGACGTTTTGTACCAAATGTGCGAAACCTTTTATATTTGAGAAAGAATGGCAACAGGAAATATAGAAGATAAGACATAGCGTATTCTGCATCAGATTTAAAAGAAAATGATATTTGTCGACTGTATGTTGAACACTACTAAATGTTTTCCACCAGAACAATAATAAACAATGTTTTATCCTCATTTCTCATTTATAATTAACTGTAGATAGTATCAACATTGACACGCTTTTTTTATGTGTATTTTATCGTTATATTTTTCAACGTTTTATGTTTCAGATCTACCGATGGACTCCGTTCAAGCAGATTAACAAAGTTTGCAATTAATGAAATAATTGGGAAAAAGAAATAGGTCGTTTGTCTGTTTGCTACTTTCTAAATTGTTTCGTGATTTAAAAAAATGAGATTCCATTTTCATGTTAATATACTGTTTAATAAAAATAAAGTTGGGATAATAACCGGAAAAAGTAATTAAGGGTAAGAGTAAAAACCCAAAGTGGCATGGCTGCTGAAATATATACTTTATGCTTCAAGAACAAATGTATATGTACAGAGAATATCTCTGAAAGTTGTAAAAACAATTATAGCCATGAAAAAGGAATGTTTTTGGTTCTTTATATAAATATATGATATTTTCTTAGATATGTGTATTTGATTAAATGGTGTAGCTTGTATTGTTTTTATTTTAGATATTTGTACAATGTAAGTTCCAAGTGTATTCTTCAATGTTGACACAAAAATTCTAGTCTATTAAAAATCTCACATACACATGTATTTTGATTTATTGTGAACTTGTTACAAAATATCGGTATGGCTGTTTAAAAGATGTTATATACTATGTATATAATACAGCACTTTTGTAACGTCGCTTTTCATTGGATAATAGTGGCGTTTATATTGTTTTATACGTATACACGGTTGCTGTCAATTTATTACAAAATCTCACTCTTTTTCTCTAAAAAGGACGTTTGCTGTATTATAAATGCGTTATAAACATTCCTGACAGGTTTTATGGCAGTATATAAAAGGGTATTTGCAATATAACCATCGCCTTACGGCTCGGGTTATATTTCCAAACAACCGGTTATATACGACCATATAACCTGTTAAATATCTTTATAACTTATAATATGATTGTATAATATGAAATTATCAATATACCTTCAGCAAATTCAGGTGTAACTCCAAGTGTTCAAGATAAAAGAGACGTAGATGAAGAATCTTGTTTGTCATTTCTATAATTATTTCTCTTTAGTTCTTTTATGTCATATCAAATTATAACGCTCTTGATGACTCCTCCTTTGAACACTGGTATCACAGTTTTTCCCCATATCATTAGAAACATAAAAAAGTGAAATATTTAATCAAAATAACTTCAAGTAAATCCCCACGGACCTTTTCAGATTTGCTTTAAATTTATCCATGGAATAGTCTTTTTAAAACTAATGAACTGATTTTTCGAAGATCAGCTTTAGATTGACTTCAAACGGTATCCGTCTTCATTAAAATTGTGTTTATGTTTAACTTGATCGCAGAAGTGAATAGAAATATTATAAAAATGTTGTTTTTTCCAGTTTCACAAAACGTCAATTTTGTCAATAGATTCACGAGAAAAATAACTGAAATTTAAACTGAATAACTGTAAACATTTAAACCGACTTGAATAAATTTAAAGTAATAATTTAATGGCGGATCCTCATGAATTTGGCAATGTTTAAAAATCCCGCGTACAAGCTTATAAACTATCCTAATATCGGTTGTATGGAGAAATCAGACAATAAGATTGTATTTGTTTTTCTGGAAATTTGAGAAGCTAACTACGTCTGCGCTCGTTTTTTGATTCTTGTGTTTGTAAAATATATCATCGGTGTGCAGGACAAAGTCATCAGTTAAATAAATTGTTTTATTCTAGTATCGTATTATTTGTAATACTTAGAATTTGACAAAAAAAAAGATATATATTAATTACAATGTTTGAGATGTTTGAATGTAACGACTAGCTTACAAACAAACACTTATATATTGACAGTTATGTATTTTATCAATGTTTCGCTAACAACCTGCCCAAAAGAATAACTCGAGAATTGGGAACTATGACACGCCAAGCAACACGACGGCGGTGCGGCACGACTGACCCCTGTATATTGACAACAGCAGCATACCGCCTACATCACTTAGCAATGGTTATAGCAGAATTCAAATTCAACATTTAGATGTACAAGATGGTATCATACTTTTGAAAACATCAACAAAAACAAAAATCAAACCATCAAACAAATCTAAAATCAAGATAAAGAATTAACACAACATTGAATATGGGGTATAGATTAATAAGTGGATGATACATACTGTTATAACAGTTTTCATTGACCTTTTGGTTTTCATGAAGACGAAATATTCACTTATCGGTCATCTTTGATCTAAATGTATATATAGTATAGTTTCACTTACTGTGCATAAATGTATGTCTTTGACTGTTTGTGTTGATGATGATGCACGCTCATTTGTGGTTATGACCCATGGGCGGGATCCCCTCGGGACGGATATTCCGATCTGAACCGCAACATATGAGAGATATTATTAGAGAGGTCATCAGACCTCTCCAGAGTGTTCAGACTGATTGCTGGCGGCATCCATTTTTGCGTATCTGCTTGTAGTGAACGAATCTCATTTAAAGCCTAAAATCGTTAGGAGCAGTCTACAAAAAATTGTTTCGCGCATGCTCCGTTCCAAAATACGACTTAAATTAAACGGATAATCAACATCGAAGTGAACAAATCGGTACATAGAAAAATCCAAACTCCTCGCAGCGGTTACTTCCCCTGATCTGTACAGTAACCACTGCCACCACAAGTAAATTCGGTCGAATATAGCCGGATATATTTTTTTCACTTTTAATTTTAAAATATAATACTTTATATCATTATAGTTTTCTTTCGTTAAATAGTTATGCTTAATGTACAAGAAAGTAAAAAAATATACGTATAAAAATTATTTTGTAAACATAACGAAAGATATTTTCACTGTGACACCGTATGCATAGTAAACAATGGTAGAATATAAACAGTTATTGAACGATTGCACAAAAAGATTTGATCCGGCACTTGTTTTAAAGTGATAACAAATTGTGTTTCTTGAACTTATTTTGTCTGGTAATGATGTAATTATAAATCTGCCAGTTTGATATGGGATCCCTGGCGTTCTGAAACTGGCCGCCATGTTTTTGTCACATGATACAACTATCATCACGTGATTTCAGTGGTGGCAGTGGTTAAAGTAGCAAAGCGTGACGTAACCGCTGTGAGGAGTTTGAGAAAAATCGGGAAATGTCATTTACGATACTAAGCGCTACGTGGATGTTTCATTTTTAAATTGTATAAATCGATTACCGTATTGCTTTCTGAATAGCGTTTTACTATTTCATGTTCCGATAAGTACATGTAGTAACTGTGAACATTAAAGGTACAATCTCACCCTGCACTATTATATGACCGAGTGAACCGTTTACCGAAATTTTGCTGCTCCTTAACCTTTTGAACCGGTATGACTAAATAACGCAACGGAGATATTTTGGCGCAAGTGGCACAAATTTAACTCAAGATTTTCCTCAAATATTGTGGTTGGAGGCATACAGCTTTATATTCTGTTTATTCTAATCAAATCATATAAACATTTTTATATAAATCTGGGACTTAAAATTGTTTGATTAACAAACTTTATGCCCGTTTTGGAAAATGTATAGGAAATAATTCCATAAACTTACCAAAACATTAACCGAAAATGTGCTTATTGAATTTTATTAGAAACTTTTATTTTGATACTACTTTTGATATATATATACATATGTGCATATCATTTATTTTAAATTCAGTTGATGACCAACATAAATGGTTCCCTTTTAGAAAAAGTAACCATTTCTCCGGCATATTATCATTTAAAACATTTAAACAAAAATGAAGTGTAAAACAAACTTTCATTATGATACTATATTCAATATATATAATAAATTCTATTTTTAAACCATTCAGTGTGTCTTTTATGCAAAAAATATCACCAAATATTATCGAATTAAACAAATCTTCCACAGCAGCAAAAATACCTCTCGCATGCTTCTTTTTAAAAAAGAAAACTTTTTATTCTAGCACCGATGTTAACGGGAGATAATCCTGTCTGATATGCAAGAATGTTATGTTTATACTAAACTTCAGTTATGTCTTTGCCAGTCTAGTGTTATGTATATACACTGTATCAAATTACTGCTTTTGCCTTTGCTAACCTGCGTCCAAAAGAATATTGCTCCGTTTTGTTATTAAAGACATAATTCTTGATCCAAATATCATTGTATTTTCTGATCGTAAGATCAGTAAATACATAGCTAACATCCACGGTCTAACACAAGATTTCCTAACAGTCCTAACAACGCAAAGTAGTTCTCACTCAAAACTGCTTAAAAACCAGCAATTTAAAAGAAAGAATAATTTTTAATGTAGGCATTTAACGAATTACAGTGCATTAAAAGTTTAGATTAGTCAATAGAAATGTGAAGTTACAATCACAAATTTCGCGGGTGAATATCTTTTTTACCCAATGAAAAATGTTCTGCTATTTCCGTAAAGCTTCGGATTATCATGAATATCATTTTAATCAATGAAAATGCTATTTTTAGCTATGTCGATTAATGTATACTCCAGAGCGTAGTACACAAATAAATCTGACTGCCGAGTAGTGGAATATATACAAATGTACATGTCGGACTGTTTTGGCGAGAAAATTTTCGCTAAATTATTTTCATCAGTGTTAAACAACAGGTTTATCGTGAACAAAATACCTCGAAATTAATAAGGATTGCAAACACGAAATGGAAATTCTCAATTTAGAATTACATAATGTATTCGTTTTTGGGGAGGCTTTGCCGACCCAATGTTAATACCGTGTGTCAAATCTTACTGCCGCGGTAATCAGGTCAAAAAATAGTACCTTGTTTTTTTCTAAGCTGACTCATCACTCATCACAGACATTTACAATATGAAAATATTTTCATTCTTTAATTTCATATCAGATAATAATTCTCTGAAAAATTCTTGATTTTTGTTTGTTATTTTTTCAAAATCACTACTCCGTGACGTCATACTGCCGCGGTAATCAGGTTTAGGCATACGTACGTCTGTAATAAATAGTTCTGGTATGAAAACCCTTCTACATAATAACTTTATCAATAATTTTTTAACAAAAAGCATAAATGAAAATTTATAAGTAAATGCTTTAATTAGGTGGCAAATATTCTTTATTATTTTTGATAACAATTTTCCAATTACTACGCAGCGACCAACTGTTTATGACGGGTCATTAACTAGAACGTTGCAACACCGTAGTCTCAATATCATGCATGTTCTTTTGTTGATACAAACCATTAATAGTCCTTAATATTTTTTAAAGACAAATAATGGTAAATTGTCGCTTACATCAGAGACATGGATCGTGCTTGCGTGATAACTAAGGAAAACTAACTTATTAGTACACCCTAGGAGGCTGTACGCGGAAAACGCTCATAAACCGCTATATATCATATAGCTGTAAAGTGAACAGTTAAATGACAGAAATATGTGGTCAAATATGTTTTATCAAGAAAATAATTATTTCAGAGAAAGACGCAAAGATCAGTCTTCAGTCAAATGAATGATCCCGTATTGTGTAATTAGAAAGTTTATTCAATTCTAGGGCAACGCATCATAATTTGATAGTCCATGTGTAATAAAATTCAAATTTTCAATACAGATTATGAGATACATAAAAAATATTAAAGAATAAGAGGCTTAAAAAACAACAACAAAAAACAACAAAAAACGCATATATATACGAATGACTTACAGTTTAGCATCGGGAATTCATCAACATATCTTACGAAACTTTAATTTGAAAACGATATTTGCGGGCGCTGAAGTGATTAATGTTTATTTGAATAAATCAAATAAAAAAAATTATATGTTTGTGTTCTAAAAATAATCGGCGGCATAAGAGGAATTTCGTATTCATTTTACAACACTTGAAAAAATACTACAGAAAATGTGTTGTTGTTTTTTTGTTTTGTTTTCAACAAAATTAAGTGTGTGTGTTTTAAGTTTATTTATACTCGGGGCCGGAATAACCATATGTCCGAGATTATAGCATCGGGGACGTCTTTTTCAAGCCGAATCTTCCTGGTAGCCCATTCTTCGTTCGTTGGTGGTAAAGGAGACGACAATACTGGCAAGGCATCAACTTCCTGACTGACGACAACAAAAACGGCATTCATTAGCGCCAAAACCTCCAGAGTAAGTCACGAAATGACAACCAATCACCTCTGGTACTTGAGATGACTTGACCTTGACCTGCCGTGTGCCTTCTCCGCGACGTGCACGCCTCTGGAGGGATTTGGAGAAGTTTCAACAAAAAACTTCCAAAACACGCTATTTATAAATTATAACACCATTCATAGCACTGACGCTTCGATGTTCTCATCTATTTGCGGGAAATGGTCGACAGGGAAAACCCTACGTAATAACCGCACACCCTGTTAACAATAGATTTTCCGCAGTTATATTTCAAGCTAGTGAGGTTTAAAAAATACATGTAGAATCTATCTATTAACTACCATAAGTTGGTTGAGTGTTGGCGGTAAAAAAAGAATTAAGATATAACTTCCTGATCAATTTTCACTTAGGTTGATTCAATTTTGAATAAGCTTTGCAGATATGTATTTTTTCAAGAAATATTTAGTTTTAATAAATATCCGAAGCCGTCAAAGTCAGCGACGAGTAATGAAATGGGAATAATTTTCTGAAACGTGATTTTATTCCAGATTTGTTTCGGAAGAAGACATCTTTCTGTCCGTATAGCATGGATATTAATACTCATCACAAGACAGTATCTTATTGATCTCAATTATGGTACATGACATGTAAATATGTATAATTTTTATGTTCAATAAAAATGTTGCATATAACTTGCAGTTGTTATTATCATTCAATGATATTAAAATGACATAAAGTATTTATGATGAACAGTCCTAGAATATTTTGATAAGGAACAGTCAGTTGTAAAATGTTATTGTTATCTTATAATGAACAGTCGTCATACTTTCTGGTATGTCATTTATTATTGACAGTTTAGGTTTTTCAAAATTTGCAGGATTAGCAGTCCGAATGTAGACCTCAATGAAATGTTATTTTCTGGAATATTAACAAAATGAATAGTCAACCATATTAACCATATATATGAATGGTTGAACACAACAGTAAGGATAAATGACACAATGTGCATATCTTCTTATTTTGGTAATAATTGAAATAACAGCACATTTTAAGCAAAAAGAAAAGAAACTATAAGTCTGAAACATTCTGTCATAGCCTCCCCATCAGTACATTCAGTGCTTTGATTATTCAAGGTACATATGTATTACTTCGCCGTGGTGCAGAGATAAGCGGTCTCGTTGAGGGTGTGAGAGGCCTATGGTACAAATCCTAGTCGAGGCAATTCTATTTTTTTTTTTCATGCAAAATTCCATATACATGTATCAATCTCAAACTGTTATAGAAGAAAATCAAAACGCTGTCGCTGCGTAAGATGAATTATAGTGTATAAAAATAAACTTATATAGGAAAGTACATACAGATAGTCAGTATGATTTAGATTGCAAAGATCAGAAAATACCATAGAGCTGCAGCCCTTTGATTTTTACACTGTAATAGTTAAAAGTTACACAGTGACTGCAATGGGGAGTATATGCTTATCCTGAAATACTGTGTTTATATATAGCCGTTGTACCTCTGACGTCATCTTTTTAGCGTGCAGCTCACCTCCCCCCCCCCCCCAAAAAAAAAAAAAAAAAAACTCGTTTCGAAAGTTGCTATTTTGTTTTCTCATTAGGCTTTACTTTTTGTGACCTTATTTAATTTTAAGGCTATTCATATAATAGAACAATTATTAGCTAGTGAGTAACTAACTATATATGATGCAATAATTCACGGGCAGAATATCGGTCAATGTGTCTATTCTACTGTTGAATATCATCACATGCTCAGTTGTTATTGTATATCATTTTCATATATCTATTGTATACCGTGTTTATATATCTATTGGTTACCAGAATATTGTTATGTCTGTTTGTTATATTATTAAATTTATATTTCCTGAATTACTTAGATTTCATATCAGGTATTTAAGTAAAAATAAAAAAGCGCTACTATTAAAGTATTGAAGTGTGAATAAAGGAAGACGTTTTGTACCAAATGTGCGAAACCTTTTATTTTTGAGCAAGAAATGCAGCAGGAAACATAGAAGATAAGACATGGCGTATTCTGCATCAGATTTAAAAGAAAATGATATTTGTCGACAGTATGTTGAACACCACTAAATGTTTTCCACCAGAACTGTCAATAATAAACAATGTTTTTTCCTCATTTATAATATACTGTAGACAGTATCAACGTTGACAAGCTGTCATAACAGAATGCAATGTGTATTTTATCGTTATATTTTTCAACGTTTTATGTTTCAGATCTACCGATGGACTTCGTTCAAGCAGATTGACAAAGTTTGCCATTAACGAAATAATTGGGAAAAAGAAATAGGTCGTTTGTCTGTTTGCTACTTTCTAAATTGTTTCGTGATTAAAAAAAATGAGATTCCATTTTCATGTTAATAAACTGTTTAATAAAATAAAAGTTGGGATAATAACCGGAAAAAGTAATTAAGGGTAAGAGTAAACCCAGAGTGGCATGGCTGCTGAAATATATACTTTATGCTTCAAGAACAAATGTATATGTACAGAGAATATCTCTGAAAGTTGTAAAAACAATTATAGCCATGAAAAAAGGAATGTTTTGATTCTTTATGTAAATATATAATATTTTCTTAGATATGTGTATTTGATTAAATGGTGTAGCCTTTATTGTTTTTATTTTAGATATTTGTACAATGTAAGTTCCAAGTGTTTTCTTCAATGTTGACACAAAAATTCTAGTCTATTGAAATCTCACATACACATGTATTTAGATTTATATTGAACTTTTTACAAAATATCGGTATGGCTGGTAGAAAGAGGTTATATACTATGTATATAGTACTGCACGTTTGTAACGTAGCTTTTCATTGGACAATAGTGACTGTTATATAGTTTTATACGTATACACGGCTGTGTCAATTTATTACGAAATCTTTCGTTTTTTTTTCTCTAAAAAAGGAAGTTCGCTGTATCTCAAATTCGTTATAAATATTCCTGACAAAATTTATGGCAGTATATAACAGTTGTTCGCCCTGCGGCTCGGGTTATATTTTCAAACAACCGGTTATATACGGTCATATAACCTGTTAAATATCTTTATAACTTAATATAATTGCTCAATATGAAATTGCCAATATACCTTCAGCAAATTCAGGTGTGACTTCAAGTGTCAAGATAAAAGAGACGTAGATGAAGAATCTTGTTTGTCATTTCTATAATTATTTCTCTAAAGTTCTTTTATGTCATATCAAATTATAACGCTCTTGATGACTCCTCCTTTGAACACTGGTATCACAGTTTTTCCTCATATCATAAGAAACATTAAAAATGTGAAATATTTAATCAAAAGTACTTCAAGTAAATCCCCACGGACTTTTTCAGATTTGCTTTAAATTAATCCATGGAAGAGTCTTTTTGAAACTAATGAACTGATTTTTCGAAGATTAGCTTTAGATTGACTTCAAACGGTATCCATAGTGACGGCCTTCATTAAAAAATTGTGTTTATGTTTAACTTGATCGCTATCCATTAAAAGTCAACAGAAATATTATAAAAAGGCTGTTTTTCCCAGTGTAACAAAACGTCCATTTTGTCAAAAGATTCACGAGAAAAATAACTGAAATTTAAACTGAATAACTGTAAACATTTAAACCGACTTGAATAAATTTAAAGTAATAATTAAAATGGCGGATCCTCACATAATTTGACATGTTTTAAAAAAAATCCCGCGTAACAAGGCTTATGAACTATATAATATCGGTGTACAGGAGAAAATCAACAATAGATTATTGTTTTATTCTGGACAGATTTAGAAGTAAACTACGTCTGCTCGTATTTTTGTTATACTTAGTGTTTGTGAAAGATAAGAAGGGTTATATATCATCGGTGTGCAGGACAAAGTCATCAGTTAAATAAATTGTTTTATTCTGGTATCGTATTATTTGCAATACTTAGAATTTCACAAAAAAGATATATTTATAACGATGTAGTGATGTTTGAATGTAACGACTAGCTCACATTTAGAGTTTACAAATAAACACTTATATAAAGACAGTTATGTATTTCATGTAAACGTTACAGCGCACTTTGGTGACAAACGTACTTTGGGATAAAAATCGAGAATTTGACCTATTTGCTAACAACCTGCCCAAAAGAATTACGCGTGAATTGGGATCTATGACACGCCAAGCAACATGACAGAGGTGCAGCACGACTGACCCTGTACATTAACAACAAGAGCAGGTAATACCCAATACCGCCTGGTTAAAGCAGAATTCAAATTCATCATTTAGATGTACAAGATGTTATCATACTTATGAAAACATCAACAAAAGCAAAAATCAAACCATCAAACAAATCTAAAATCAAGATAAAGAATTAACACAACAGTGAATATGGGGTATAGATAAATAAGTGGACAATACTTTCTTTTATAACAGTTTTCATTGACCTTTTGGTTCACATGAAGCCAACACTGCGCATAAATGTATGTCTTTGACTATCTGTGTTGATGATTATGCACACACATTTGTGGTGATGGTGTTACTTTTGATGCTATTGTAATATTGTCCACAAATTTGCGATGCTAATTAACGCACGTTTGTCAACTAGAGTCGCAATGTTTTAAAGAATACGTTGCATTTTGTTTCATAATTTATCATTTTTGAATTTCAATAGTCTTAGTTTTTCTCCCACACCACAATAAATATATTCTGTCCTAGACACAAATATTAAGTAATCATTTACGCTCGTTCAGCAACGTTTAGTAGATGTTCTCCCGCATATTCGCTTAACTTTACGAGAAAGAAAAACGTTTCTGATTGAGACGATTTTATCAAAGCACATTAACCTTAAAGACAAATGAATCAAGACCTTGATTGGACTGTATATTGCAACATTATTCTGAAAAGAAAGTATCATGATTATGTAATGTCGAATAAACATGTACATTTAAATGTATCATTACACATATATAACCCTATTGAAATATTAACAATATTTGCGTGATTCTAATGAAAAAAATTACACAATTCTTCTTTTATTTGCAAAGTAAACAAATTTAGCTAAATTCAATAAATCTTTTGTAGAGTTTGTTGACATGAGAGCCCTAAATTTATTCAAAGTCGGCCACTGGCAGTAATAGCGAGCTCGACGAGCTGGCCCGAAGGGCCTGCTCGCAAAGCGAGCTTTACGGTAACGCGAGTACCTGCTAAGTGATGGTTTTGAAAACTTTCGTCCAAAGTACCGAATTGGACACATCGCAACCTTTCGAATTTAAAGATAACAATAAAAACTGAGGAATTCTGACTGAAAACGGATGTGTAGACTGGTCACCCGTGCACGTCTATGGGAACTATAATTGGACAGGGAACCAGAATAACGGAAGCTGTGTATAAAAAATGAAATTCGAAGGCGCCATTTTGTTTGAAATCTGATAAATAAAAACAATTTTTTGTCGAATTTTGTTGTGAAAACTATCTAGAATGAAAGAAAATGGTCTAACAAAGAAAATTAATCCGAACACCAATATCTTTTATTCAGTCGTTAACGCTGTACAGACATTTAAATTATTGTTTACGTGACGTCACAATGTAGCGCCAAACAGCGCGTGCAAAACAAACAAATCAAGTTCGCTTTTTTAATGTCGCAAACGTTTTAAGTTTTACATTTATTTCACTTTAAATAATTTTAATTTCGCTTAAAAAATTATAGAGTGAAATAAAATAAACATAGTTTTATAAACGTTTTCAAAACTCGTTATTCATTTCACGACAATGGCGGAGCCATATTTAATACAGTACGTGTGACGTCACACGTACTCGTCACTGCATTTGAAATAAAAATGAGCGATTACTTCATACTATTTCACGTAAAAAGTACATCGAGCTCGCTTTGAGGCTTTGCCTTTTTCATATTAGCGTTTCAAATATTTATTTCTCAAAGCGAGCTTCACGGTAACGCGAATACCTGCTAGATATGATGGTTTTGAAAACTTTCGTCCGATGTACCGAATTGACACATCGCAACTTTTCGAATTACAAGATAACGATAAAATCCGAGGTGTTCTGATTGAAAACAGAAGCGTAGACTGATATCCTGCGCAATTAAATGGGAACTATAATAGGACAGGGAACCAGAATAAACGGAAGCAGTGTATAAAATACCGAATGACAATTTTAAAACGGAAAATGTAAAATAAAAATGAACAATTATTTTATACTATTTTTATACTATTTCCCGATAAAAGAAACTCGAGCTCGCTTTGAGGCTTTGCCTTTTTCATATTAAGACTACTTATAATTATGATATCAATCGATTATAGTTAATCTATTTATAGGAGATATTGCACGAATGTGTTATTCAGGTGATGTATTTCAATGAGACCACAGGGTTGGTGTGAAATGAGTGCGAAATGAGTGTGAATATGAGTGAAACCAACGAGAAAGTTTGCTTTGAAAATTTATCGTTATTCAAAGCGACATGAATGACTCATATCTATTACATATCAATCGTACTGAAATAAAAACATATGCACAGTCCAAGTTACTAAGCGACACTAACAATCATTAAAGTTGTTGTTGCTGTTGTTTGTTGTTGTTGTTTTTTGTTGTTGTTTTTTTTTTGATGTTGTTTCTTTCTTTCTTTCTTTCTTTCTTTCTTTCTTTCTATTTAATATCCGATTATATTCTTCATAAAATTAAGTTTAAACTTAAATATAACATTAATATGAAATTAGGCAAAGCCTATGAACGGGGAAGTCGTTAAAAATTCCTTTCATTCTTTCCGTTTTAAAGGTGTCATTCGGTATTACATGCACCGCTTCCGTTTTCACTCGGAATACTCGGCGATTATCTTTTATCCGAAAAGTTGAGATTTGTTCCGTTATCGGAATATCCCGCCTATTATCATTGAGTTACATTGTAAATGGCGGCGCCTGACTAGAACTGACACTGAAAATTTCATTGATAGGTATAGAATTCTATATATTTTTTAATTTTTTTTTATTTGATTTTCTTTTAAATATACTCGTGTAGTCTATAGCCGGGCAAGCCAAAGCCCGGACCCGCTTCGCGGGCCCGGTCTTTGACGTCCCCGTATAAGGCTCACACATTGGTAACTGGTACAGACTGCAAGAGAGACTGTTTAAAGACATTACGAGCCTTATCCTTGTTATATGCTGTTATCTTTTTTTTTAAGATCCTTGAACTGTATGTTACAGGATAATAAATCATTTTTGCTCGTTTGTGAGGATCAAATACGAGAATTAATCATCCACTACGGTCGTGCCCTATAAGTGCATAAAGACCATCTTTCTCATAACTTTCTGTTTATATATAGCTTATAGGCATAGTTTATTTATAACAAGAGACAATCAGAAATTTGAACTGTATAAGGTGATTTTAGGAGAAAGTTCTTCATACGAATTTGTACTTAGGGAATAATGATATCTTATAGCATCCAATTTTCTTTAATAATTAGTGTTACGAAAGGCAATGTAAGTACGAAATAAAGGTGAAGTGAAGGACATTAGATACGTGTTCGTCGTCTATCAAACATGGTATAGTCATTAACTTGTGACAAAATATTTTGTCGGAAAGACTTACAGTAATAATGTGTTTCCAATTGATATGAAATAGTTAAAACGTATAGTAGAACTGACATTTTCTAAGATGGTATTAAGGACAGTTTTTAATTTTTTCATGTTTTAAGTACAAGTGCATTCCTAGAGTACTATAAATGAAACCACGGACAACTGCGACAGGGAATAATCTCCGATCCGTGGCCGTCGTCGGAACCCAAGGGTACTGATTCCGCTGAAGAACATTCATAATTGTTTAATTAGATCACTAAAGAAGTGTATACGTAACGAATACGCATGCGTCAACGAATATGTCTCGAGGCGTGCACGTCGCGAGGAAGGTACACAGCAGGTCAAGGTCAAGTCATAAAAAGTACCAGGAATGATAAATAATAATATCACTGTCAATAAATTATAAATGAAAACTCATGTACATTTGTTTATAGTTTGGTGAACAGCTAAGTTTGCAAGCAAAATATTTATTCTGGAAAAAAAATTCAATTTTGACTGAATCAAGGACCAAAGATATGTCATTAACTGAAATACTAAATATATACAGCTAAATACACCAATCATTGTGACTGACAATTTGGAGACTCCAATGTCACAAGACTTCGGGACGGACGGAGAAGAGCAAATCGATATACTAAGGAAGGGGTGGGTATAAAAGCTTCCAAAATCACGACACCCCAATGCAGTACCGCCAACTGCCATTGATATTGGCGTTGTCATCGTCTGTATAATGAATGGCTGAAGTTCATCCTCTTTATGTGCTAAAATTGCGCAGGTCCCAAAATAATTATTATTATGCGTTGAAAATCATTGCGTAAACGTCAACATTAATGCGGTAGCGCTGTCATGCGGCCTATAACAATGCGTCTCTAAAACAGAATCATACCCTTAGAGTGCATTATCACTTTGTTCAATGGTATGGATTTAGTCATTACACTCAAGCAGTGACATGTTATTATTATTCGATGCAATAATGCGTTATTCATGACTTTTTTGTCAATGTGTAATTAATGACAATTTCCAAACAGGAGAATGTGAAACATATTTATCTACATCTAAAAATTCGAATAAGTCAGTAACGTGTTTTCTTTATTTGTTTCTGAAGAAAACCCAAAATACTTATAGATGAAAATGAAAGTTTATCAATAATACTTATAGAAGTTTTCTTAACTCCCCTTTCCGTTTTATAAGCCATATTTATCTTGTAGCATAAAATAACCATGGAAACTTAAACAATGATATTTAATCAAGTAAGAATTTTAATGGCCGTAAATCTTTGTCGCTGTAATTTCAAACAAGCCGTGTCAGACACTTGATCTATTATCATGTAGTTTCACAAAGTGATAAGTATCTACGGATTCTTCTGATTACCCTAGCTAGAGAAATCCTTCTGTTTAATACATTAAAATGTCATTCTTGTAAACTTGTCATTTGATATGGCTTCCAGCTTATAAATGCTTATGTTCATAATAAAATGAAAAATATCTATATCTAATATAAGCAAAGTAAGGATCTTTTATCATTGCATTCTTGGTCAATAGTCAAGGTAAACATATTGAAACAAGTTGAACTATTTGTAATAAAGTAGAAAGTAATACAAACCGTTAGTTATTTTTGTACCTACATTCTGCAGTCTTTTTTTACAATGAACCTTTATACATATTGTAAAGTACCTACATGTACATACGACAGCCTTTACTACAACAATATTTTATGTATGTTGTATGGTACATATATTTTGTAGCCTTTATTTAATGCATTATTATTTAATGAATATTGTATTGCTCAGGGATAAGACGCTTTAACCTGATATTATCCCTTACCTCTACCACCCACCTCCCTCCAGTCACTGTTACATCCTCCTCCCTTCACCCCCCCCCCCCCCGAGAAAAAATATATATGATTTAAAGTCAATTTCCACAATTAATATTCATAACAACAATTATATGACACTATTACACAATTCTCATTATACATTTATAATATAAGTTATACATTTAGATTTGGACGGGATTTTCGTTGTGTCATTGATTGTTTAGTTTTTACAGATGCAATAGCATTTCTTACGCAATTTTGCCTCCTTTCAGTGTAATTCAGACGTAGAAATATCAATGTTTATGTCAATCAGATCTTGTCAAATTCCAAGTTTTCGGCTGTTTCGGTGCTTGTTTAAAACAAAATATTTAACACTGCTTATCATGGAAGATGTCATTGTATACATATATCTATACTACATTGGTCGAGACCAAGTTTTTAAAAATATGTAGACTTTTGGCTGAGTAATGACATTGAATGCAGACTTGGGTAGAATCAAAGCACAGGAAGGGGAAGGAGTTGCAACCCTTGAATATAACTAATACTCTAGAGGTATAATGAAAATTGTGTAATATTGTTGTTGCTATGAATACTAAATGTGAAAATTGACTTTAAATCATATTTTTGGAGGGTTGTAACAAGGACTGGAGGAAGGGAGGGAGATAGCGAATAATTTCAGATTAAAGCGTCTTATAATACCTACATTATGTAGTATTCTGCAAGAACATGTTACTTACAGGTTTTGAAAATTTACCCTAAGACAAGTTATCTAGTTCTTGGTATTATATTTCTAAACAATATCTTAAATCGCTGCGTCATACAGTAATACAATAAACATTAGCTAATGAATATTTATGATCGTCTTTTTGTAAAATGGTAATAATTAGAATTACAATTGCAAGTTTAAAACAGTTCGTATATTTCTTGTTTATTGACCAAACAAAAACTTTTACTTGCGTATGAAAATATAAACCCTAATAGGTATTTCGCTTCACTTAGTCTACATTATATGTTATGTACTTTGCTGACGTTATTCTGAAGACGTAACGAAAAGTTCAAAGAACGTGACTGTAATGCATTTTGAAAACGCGAGTTGTAAACTTTATTATATTACGTACATAACATTGATATTTAATACACAATGCTGACCACGTGATCATTACTTTGTATATTTTTGTTATCACCATAACATACTTTGTTGTATTTACGTTAGCAAAAAAATATCTTAAAACAAAAGTGCATTTCTTATTTTTAGATAAAGTGTAAAGAATAAAGTATTTTAACAAGTTTCAAGTTTAACAAATGAACAAAACATGCCATTGAAACAAAAAAACGATATAGTAAGACATTGAAGAGGTGACGTATAATAGCGTAAGAAAATGCATAGTTTGTATCAGTATAAAATGATTATGATTACAATTTAGTACAATCTTGAAATTATTATCACAATGGCAAAATAAACAATTCATAAACAATTCATATTACAATATACTAATTTTGTCGCTATAAGCGACAGTCATATTTCTTCTTCCCGCCTTGTATTGTTTAGGACGAACAATGGCGTCCATTCTGCACAGCGGGCACTTGGCTCAGAGCACCGTTCTTCTATAAGTTGGCTTGATTTTTCAACATTCTCGACAAATCTTCGTCATAATGATTGTGTATAAAGTTGAATTCACTTTAATATATACAACAGGAAAATACTTACAGAAAACATGTGACCTTAAGATTTGTATCGAGAAGGTAAAAATACTTCCATTCGTTCATAAACATAGAATATATGAATAACATGACGTATACCTCGGCATTTCTCATTCATTCACTCATTAATTATGCATAATGAAAAATATCAAATATCCATCACATATGTGAAAATCAAACACAAATACTCGTTTGCAATTTGCATTAAATATATGTATGTATAGATTGGAAGAATGCACATCTCTCTGCGATATAAAGTATTGCAGTCAGGCACATTACTATTCCACTTCATTCTGTTAACGAATACGTGACAAAACTTATAATTACTTAATATCATGGCAACTGTCAATAGAAGTAATACACCATCCACTGGTCGTAACTATGTAATGTAGTGCCCAAAATGAAGAGATCATTATCATACCCGCATTTTACAGCAATGTTAAGGTTTTTTCGACTGTTAATCACAAAACTCAAACATTCTAAATGGTCTGCGTTTGTGTTTAAACAACCATCATCATTCGAGAAACAAAAGGTATTCCAATCACTGCAAAATATAGGAATTAATAACTATAAATCCATGTATATATAAACATGTTACTACCTAGTAACATGTTTAGGCATATTCAATGAAATATCATTTTAAAATACAAATGTAGATATACACATATCATTTAGATCTAATAAAATATAAAATTCTGAAATTTGATTGCAATCAAGCCTGTTGATGTATTGAGAAACAATCTAGCTGAAATTTTTCTACCTAAAATTTTACTTTATTGTTTCGTTTCCTGACACTTTTGTGGAATTTCTTCTTCTTCTTTAATCTTTTCCTATGATTCTTTGATCCTTTTAATTTCTTCTTCGTTTTATTGTATAACTTATGTCTTTTGCACGCTCGTTCCGAGTGTAGATGTGTGACGTCAATATTCACGTCATCCATAATAATGACGTCGTCGTCAAAGGCATAATTTTGATTGTCGTAATCCCTTTCAAATATAGTTAACAGTTGCTCTAAAAATATATATCAGAGAAATATACAAAATGCTATTGTTAATTTGTCCAGATATTATATTTAGAATGCATTTTTTTGTTGTTTTTGTCTTCAAATTGATGTTCACGCTTAGGACCTAGTTTGATCTCTATATGAGATGTAACTACTGTGGAGGAAATAAGCCAAACATTTACGAGCACCTTGCTATACATGTAGTTCGACACTTATATAGCCATATGCCTCTTTTGTTTACTTTAGTAGCTAATTAAAGGGACTCCACTGAGGCTTTTTGACATGATGGGACTGAAAATATTTTTCCAGATAAACGTGCTATTTGATGTAGGTTTAGACCACTTATCTTGGTGCAAAATTTCACTAAAAAGCATAAAAATACGATTTTCAATTTATATCAAAGTATTTTTCTTATCTATCTTTGCATATATTTCTGTTTAAAGTGCCCCAGCTCATTTATGTAAGAAATTTAAATGTTATGTTTTTAGGCTTTCAAACCTCAGTGGAGTCCCTTTAAATTCTTTATTTAAAATGGGTTCTATCCTTGCAATTAAAACACAAAATGTATGAATTCCATTTTTAGTTTGTAACAATGACTTTTTATTTCTATAAAGTTTTTGAGTGGTAGACTTGTTAAGTAATGAGTTTTTATTTCTATAAAGTTTTTAGGTGCTACTTGTCGATTTAAACATTCATAATCAACTTAAGGTATATTATAACATAACATGTTTTAAAAACATGGCAAATGCCGTAGAGTTACGAAATTCAGAGAATTATTTATTGTGTAAGGACAATAAATTGCGACGTTCCTCAAAAATGGCAGTTTCTTATTAAAAAAAACATACGCGTATATAAAGCTACATCAGGCTGCCTATAATCCGCTGAATATACATATAAAATCATAACGACGAACTACTCAAATGGTGTTAAAGCAGTTGGCGAACGCGCAATATCATCCAACGCCCTTTAAAATATCAGTTCGGGAACATTTTATCGGTATTCCTTTATAATTTATTTTATCTGTATTCCTTTATAATTTATGACCGTCAAATAAAAGGGACACTTTTTGTTTAAATATAACCACAATTAAAGATATTTTCCTTTTGATAACTAACTTTTGAATAATTGAATATCTAATAATTGAGCCGCGCCATGACATAACCAACATAATGGGTTTGCGACCAGCATGGATCCAGACCAGCCTGCGCATCCGCGCAGTCTGATCAGGATCCATGCTGTTCGCTTACCAACCCTTTTACAAGTCGAGAAACTGATAGCGAACAGCATGGATCCTGAACAGACTGCGCGGATGCTGGTCGCAAACCCATTATGTTGGTTTTGTCGTGACACGGCTCATATGTTAATATTTCACAAATCAAACAATTAATGATACGTTTTCTTCTTATCTCTAAAAGCCTGCAGAAATAAAAAAAAAGTACTTTAGAGTTTAAGTGATAACGTATAACCTGTATTATATGAGTTAGGGCACCCCTCTATGACGTCACTGTTTCTCTCCTGACCATGACCCGTGTTGGCGAGGAAGCTCTGTTTAACCAAAAGTAGCAACAATATCACTGTGCAAAATAACGGCCTTGTGTACGCCGTGTTATAAATCAATGACATGTTTTCCTGTATAAAAGAGAAAAAAGATAACTATAAGCATTTCCAAAAAACAGTAGAGCTAATGTTTCTTCCTTTAACAGAAATATTTCAAACATCGTTTACCCCGCAGAAGCCTACGCACTGGTTTCAGTTAGGATTTCATTCTATATAAAGGTAAACAGACAAAAAAATGGCGGATTGCGTTTCCCGTAGAGTTTTTTGGCATCCATTTTGTTCTCATTTGGTATTAAATTCTCCAGTCTGATTGGCTTAGGGCAAGCGGTGTACAGGTAGAAATCGTCAAATATTGTCAATTGTATATGTCGCAGTCCAGGAACGTCGGCAATAAAGGTGGGTGTTAACAAATTCATTCATGACTGATATGTGTCTGGTCGAAACTTTTGCCATTCAAAAACGATAAAATATGTAAAGTACATGTAGTTTACAATACTGCTCTATTACGACATGAGAATGATAAGTGCAAATTTCCACGGATAAACTTTGTCAAGAACACTCCAGATAAACTGGGCCTTCCTGAGTACATGCATTATTATTATTATTATTATTATTATTATTATTATTAATATTATTATTATTATTATTATTGCTTTTGTAGGAATGGTACAATACAGTTAATAAATCTCCTAAATATTAATAAGTTTATCGTATATTTGAAAAAAAGAATGTCTTTTAGAAAATCTGGAAACAAAGTCATCCCTCGGAAGCATTAATCACAACAAAATTACAAGAGAATACTTAGGTGTACTACAAACTAACCTTATCAGATATTTTTGTAAATTAAACTACAAATCACCAGCTGCCTACAGAAAATGGCCGTATTGGTATTTTCTATAAACATTGTAATAAAAACATAATTGGGGATGAATTTCATTATTTGCTTGAATTTGAGAGTTTAACTAAAGAATACTAATATCATTTCATCCAAATGCATATAAATAAATGGGAAGAATTAATGAGCTGTATAAATCAGTGTAAATTAATAAAACTAGCTTAACTTTGATTTTGTTGGTTGTCAAATACTGGTTATTCGTATTTGTCATTTTCTCATACTTGGAAAATATTCAAAAAGCATATAATAATAAATCAAGATTAAAATTGGGACAATTTTTGTGCATTTTAATTTGTAATGGTATGTAACATATATTTGATGAGTTATTGTTGTTTTGTAAATTGTTTATATTTATATGAAATATTTTCAAATGAATTAAGAATTTAATTGAATTGAACTGAATTGGTTTTTTTATATAATATATTCACTTCAATATTCGTGAATGTATGTTCATAAAGATATACTTGTAATGCTAAAAATAACAACAATACAAAAAACAAAGAGTTATTACATAACAAATCTTACAAATGCAATAACAATTACTTATTGTACATGACAGAAATATATAAAACCGTATAATACGGCCATATTTTAAAAAAGTACAATAAAAATAAGCATTTATAATTTTCCTCAGACGAAATCATATGATATATAAAAGTTCAGCGATAGGTTTAAGCTAACCTACGTTATAGTTAATTTCGATATTAATTCCAATATAAATCAAGGACCAAGCATTTACCTTTATTTCATAATTGTACGTTATGAGAGTCAAAAAGTTAAATGTAAATTAATAAAAAAACAAATAAACAAGCAAAGGGAATTTTTTTTAAAAAAAACATCCTTGAAATACGGACATAAATGGTTCTCTTGTTGAAGAATTAGTACTAGATCAGAAATCTTACATTATATATAAATATATTCAAAAACACACATGCAAACCGATAGTTTTGCAGGAATTTAGATTTTTATAGATTTTATTTTCATTGACAATGACATCTTTAGAATATTTCTAACACTATATAATTAACACATAAAATAGATAGAACAGATATAATACAAATATACACATATAATAGAGAACAAAGTCTGTAAAAATATATAAAAAATATTTAATCACAAGAAATCTCACTAACCTATGAAGTAGTCCATTAATTGTCCACATTCTCATTCTGATCACAAGACGCAATTCTTCTTCAATTTTAATTATAAAATTCAATTAATGATTCCATGTCGCGAAAATTCATGACATGCCATAGAATAAAGTTTAAGAAATAAGACGCACACAATTACATTAGTCGTTATGGTGACTTGTATCACATTTACCTGAATATTAAAGTAAAAATGATTGATAGTTCTATGTTATTACAAGCTAATGAAATGCAAATTCTTACAAAAGCATGGCTTATGTTCCATAGAAGAATATTGTATCCAATTTTCTCGTAATACGGTTGCTATGGTAAAAGCGATACAAGCATTGATTTAAGGAATATATGAGAAAAGAGCGACGCTTTGATTGTATATAGAAACTAGAGTGATTTGTGATGAATTACTACATTGGAACTACTTTATTTACCATTAATCTTCGGTAATAGAAAAGAAAACTAGCAAAGTCGGCAAATATCTTTTATAAACGAGCCCGTATGCGACTGAATATGTAACGAGATTAAAACGCATTGAATAGACAGAGGTGACGGATTATTCAGCATTTTGTGTGCATCTTTTGTCAACTTTCTTCAAAACATTATAATGAATTTATTTTAAGATAGAAAAAAGTTAATGTTTGGAAAATGAGTTCAGAGATTATACGCATTTCAGAGACATTGTGATTTCGTTTATATTTTACATATACTGCATTAAAACATTCTATGTTTCACGTATATTGAAGCATTTTATGTTTCACGTATATTGAAGCATATTGTTGAACGCACTGTATATTGAAGCATTTCATGTTTTACGTATATTGAAGCATTTCATAAAGCATTTTATGTTTCATGTATATTGAAATCTTTTATGTTTCGCGTATATTAAAGCATTTTATGTTTTACATATACTGTATTGAAGCATGTTATGTTTCACGTATATTGAAGCATTTTATGTTTAACGTATATTAAATCATTTTATGTTTCGCGTATATTGAAGCATTTTATATTTTACGTATATTGAAGCATTTTATGTTTCGCGTATATTGAAGCATTTTATGTTTCACGTATATTGAAGCATTTTATGTTTAACGTATATTAAATCATTTTATGTTTCGCGTATATTGAAGCATTTTATAGTTTCCGTATATTCAAGCATTTTATGTTTCATGTATATTGAAGCATTTTTATGTTTTACATATAATGTATTGAAGCATTTTATGTTTCACGTATATTGAAGGATTTTATGTTTTACTTACATTAAAGCATTTTTATGTTTTACATATAATGTATTGAAGCATTTTATGTTTCACGTATATTGAAGCATCTCATGTTTTACGTATATTAAAGCATTTTATGTTTCACGTATATTGAAGCATATTGTTTTACGCACTGTATATTGAAACATTTCATGTTTTACGTATATTGAAGCTTTTATGTTTCGCGTATATAGAAGCATTTTATGTTTTACATATATTGAAACATTTTATGTTTTATGTATATTGAAGCATTTTATGTTTCACGTATATTGAAGCATATTGTTTTACGCACTGTATATTGAAACATTTCATGTTTTACGTATATTGAAGCTTTTATGTTTCACGTATATAGAAGCATTTTATGTTTTACATATATTGAAACATTTTATGTTTTATGTATATTGAAGCATTTTATGTTTTACATATATTGAAACATTTTATGGTTTATGTATATTGAAACATTTCATGTTTTACGTATATTAAAGCATTTTATGTTTCACGTTTATTGAAACCTTTTATGTTTCGCGTATATTGAAGCATTTTATATTTTACGTATATTTAAGCATTTTATGTTTCACGTATATTGAAGCATTTAATGTTTCACGAATATTGAAGCATTTTATTTTTCACGTATATTTAAGCATTTTATGTTTTACATATATTGAAGCATTTTATGTTTCACGTAATTATACTATATTGAAGCATTTTATATTTTAAGTATATTGAAACATTTTATGTTTCATGTATATTGAAGCATCTTAATGTTTCACGTATATTGAAGCATTTTATGTTTTACGTATATTGAAGCATTTTATGTTTTACATATATTGAAGCATTTTATATTTCACGTATATTGAAGCATTTTGATTCAGGTATAATGAAGCATTTTATGTTTCCCTTATATTGAAATCTTTTATGTTTTACATATATTGAAGCATTTCATGTTTCACGTATATTAAAGCATTTTATGTTTCACGTATATCAAAGCATTTATGTTTTACGTATATTGAAGCATAAATAAGGAAATAATCGCACGTTTGCATATATAAGTAAGCCTATTTCCTTTTACATGCTAAAGGAAAATTAAAGCCAATTTATAAATCATGTTAAAAGAATAAACATCCAAGCTTTCAATAAAGCCTTCTCTTTTATACATATACTTTGTAAAACTAAAATGCATAGATCCAACAAATGTTATCAATATTTTTTAAATTTTTTTTGGTGATGTTTGCATTTTATCCCAATATATCCGCCAATTCTGTGAAAAACGTTAATCAGACACTTGACTAATTAATTTTGACGAGGACACATTACTTCTTAAAAGCCATTGTACTTCATTATACCATAGACTTAACTAAGAATTTCTGGATAGCCCGGATTCATTCTGTTTACTTTTTGCAAAAGTTCTGTATAATCCCATATGGCACAAATAAATTTTAATGAAAATTGGTTCTACATTTTGTCGCAACTTGATTATTTTGAATACATGTATGTAAAATTGTGAAACAACGTAAAATGAATGACACCGAAGAGTGTTTTTGAAACATCTTTCTAAAAAATTTATTTGAAATATTTACATCATGGTCAAAAATATCGTCGTTCGGTAATTAATGAAGGATCATAAATAAACAAAACATTCAGAAATGTTAAGCTTATTTGAAGGTTCGTCATTTCATGACTGGTCAATATACAATGTATAATATTCCATTTTTCAGCAACAACAAATGAGAAATAAAAGAGTTTGAATATGGATAGAGTGAAGACAAGATTTAAAAAATACCAAATAAGATTCTGTAGACTATGAAACTGCATGTAGTATGTTGCGTGTTACTTGGGTACATCAAAGAATTTAAATATTACAAAGTTTGAAAGGACCAGGAACGATATTGTCCGGATATAATATAAATGTTACACAAACACATTCAGGCTGTTAAGAGAATAAGTGACACCATTTATCATTGTATAAAATGCTTGTAGGAAAACAAAACGTTACCACAAAAAAGATTTTTCTGTAACGTTATTAGAAGAAAAGGATCTTCCAGCATTATTACATAACTGCAGCAGAATCTGTAAATGAATGTATTATAATACCTTTTGTTTATCAGACAAATAAATAACTGGCATGGAAAATGTCGTGGTTTTATTAAGCATTTGTTGCAAATAAATGCCATTGTCAAAATATTAATAGATTAAAACTTACTTTGTAAATAATGTTAGGCATCTCTCAGCCGGACAGCTACATAGCAACGTGATGGAGCTGGAAAAAAAAATATAATAAATATATAATATATTTATAACTATGCAAGAGAATGTGCTGTCAATGTAGGAAATAGAATCGCATGTCATGGGAAGCCGAGTTAAAACATATGCTAAGCGTAAATGAGAACTAGATAATATCACTAAACACATTGTCGTGATGCTGACTGCCAACACAGACTGGACTAATATATAGCCTGCTAAATAATATGGAATATACATGTATAAATAAGTACCATCAGTGTTACACTATTATGAATGCAAGAGAATTAGTTGTTACTATGGTGGCTGATTTGGAACACTTTAATTTGTGCGTCTTGTTGTCGCTAGGGACAGAAAGATAAAGCACCAGACGGCGCATTGTCGCACTGTCGTCCTGTCGCTAACGATGCACACCAAACGGCGCGTTGTCGTGCGGCGTGTTGTCGCGATGTCACATTGTCGCTCGGCTCAAATCGAAGGATTGGCTATTTCTATATATATAAACCAAACGACAGGGCGGCATCGCGACAGCGCTGCACAAAACGCGCCGTTTGGCATGCTTCGCTAGCGACAGGACGACAGTGCGACAACGCGACAATGCACCGTTTGGTGCTTTATCTTTCTGTCGATAGCGACAACAAGAAAAGACGACAAGACAAAAAGGCGATAATGATATAGGTTGTGTTGTCGCTATCGACAACGCAACGCGCAAAGTGTACAAAATCCGCCACCATATATAACCATTATAAAAACCAACGAAACCCAGACATAACAGGGGATAATTGTTACACCGGTTCGGGTGAGTGTAAGAAGTTTAGATTCCGGATCACGGCAGCGAGCCACATCAGATTCACCAAAGCAAAGTTTAGCTACTGCACCGTTCCTGTGTCAGCTGTTCAGCAGTTGTTCTGAAATAAGATGTCGAGCTGCTAGTTACATGCCAGTCCAGAGGTACAGTAAAAATGACCGTAAATCAATCACAACGAAAGCGACCTGCACCGTCCGGTAATCGAACCCTGGTTGCCCGATATTCTCAGTCCAACGCTCCACCAATTTATATAATCGAGCGGTGCTTTGAGTTATATACCATACACGACTTCCGCCGTAAATAGCGTACACCATATATATTTTACGTAATAAATAGTTTATATGTGAGCGGTTATACGTTGGTTAAAAACGCAGACAGTTTAGCTACGTAATGTTTATCCACTTTCGAGAAAACTTTTTTTACTAAATGTAAACAGCTCATGCCTAGTGACAAATAATAAAATCATCATCATTATCCTTATCATTACTTTTTGCCTTCCATTCTTCAGATATTGTACGGATATCGATCATCATCATAAATGACCTATTTTAAAGCTAGTAGATCTAAGTCATATTCAAGGTCCGATCAATAACGAAAAAAGTAATTTGCCTTTATTATAAGAGAATTTAATCATCAGAAAATGATCCCTATTGATTTTGTGGTAAGATGATTAAAGGCCAATGACCTTGTGACCTTATGACCATAACCACTCAAAAAGCCAGATTAATTACTGGATAACCCTTTCCAAGTTAGAAAATTAAGTTGGTCGTGATTAACAGATAACCCCTATTGATGTAAAATGACAAGATAACTGGCTAACTAACTGTGACTTTGTCCATAAATGGGTGTTAAATTAATTACTAGATAATCATTTGTCGTACAGTCCTCATATTCATGACTTTTGACTTTTTCGGGCCAGTAGTTCAAAGGACAAACTCACTGTAACCTTGACTATTTGATCCTCCTCAATCAATATCTAGAAAATTGATGTGACCTTGACCTTA